CTGCGGCAGCTGACGCATTCCCGCCTCGGTAGCGAGACTTCATGTTGACGGACATCACCCTGCCGGTCATGGTGAGCGACGCCCTCGTCTCCTCCCACGCCATCATCACCAACGTCTCCACGCCAGCCGAGATCACGGCCGTCTTTGACGGAATATCCTACAGCAAGGTAACCCTCTACTGAGGCTAAAGGCACCGACAGTTTGCACAGCTGAGTGCTTTTAATTAGGATAAACTGTATATATTTCTATTGTATTATAATAACTAATTTCTGTTATTTCTGATAATTTAGAGTATAACTCATGTATGTAGTTGGCAAATATTCCATTTATATACACGAAATTTATTATAATGCTCCTAGTATTTCTAAATTGCTAAGCTGCATGGAAATACCGAATTTCAAGTAAGACAAGTAAGAAAGTTTAGACACTATTCTCAAGTGCGCCACCTGCTGGAAAAAATGAGATGTAGACACTAAATGTTCAGAAGTCACGATGGCTTGTTTTTCACCGGTAACACCCAGAGCTAAATATGTAATATTGATACAAACACACATATATAAGCAGAAAGTGGAGTCCTGGAGAACACCTGCAGCATTCTTCCTATTGAGATATCTACAAATGATTAATTATAGAGAATGTTATATTTGGTCCATAATCAAATATTCCACTATTTCTTTTCGTCATTCACCAACACGTTTTTTGTACAAATACCTACCTTCACCTATAGGGGGCATCAATCCTGAGAATGCTGGAGGACCTACTGGGTGGCGAGATGTTTCAGATCGGCTGTCAGGTGTGATGTCAACATATTCTGTTGTGCAACAACTGATAGCTGATGATATGTTGCAATATGTTGATAAGGTTTGGCTCCTACAGCTTATTTTTATCAGCCAGTAAAGTGGTCATATTTATACTGAACTTTAATATCTTTTTATATCAACTGCCAAAATGTGCATTGAATTGCAGGAATGGTATAGAAACAAAGCAAAAGTCAACATGAATTAATCTGTTCCTTCTTTGCCTAGAAATACTTGAAAGACTTCCAGTTTAGGAATGCCAAGACCTCTGATTTCTGGAGGTCTTTAGCTGCGGTATGTTCCTGTCTCTGCCTTTCTGATATCTTGACTTTGTTTCCATGATGGCTACAGCTGATTGGTTTCAGTAGGCCAGCCAACCGACAGGATTATGTTTCTTGATTTACATGCATGTGGAGATCGAATCGCGCTCAAATGGCTGTAGACATGTCCACCTGTGGAAAGGCCAGATGCATAAGGGGTGGCTTTGTGCGTCAGGTGAGCGGTTTTCCCATAGAAGAGATAATGGACACCTGGACCAAGCAGATGGGGTACCCTCTACTGGATGTGTCTACCCTGGGCATGCAGGTCAGGCTGACTCAGAGACGCTTACTGCTGGATCCCAACGCAGACCCCTCCAAGCCCACGGTCGCCCTGAGGTGAGTATCGAGGTCAGTTCTCCTGCTTCACTTAATCTCCTAACAGCCTTGGTGCTAAATGGAGATGCTAAAGTAGCTTTATTAATTAGGGGGTGCTGAGGGATTAGGTAGAGTAAAGAGTAAGTGTCTAGGAAGGATGGAGAACTGGGGTTCAGGGA